CAGACTATGCTGCAACCACAGAGCATACTTAGACAGTACCTTGGCTCTGATACCAATTATTGCAGAAGCCAAATGTATATAGTGTGAATGAGTCACAACTACTATACCAAAAAATTATGACAACCACTAAATAATAAACAAGACAATAAGACAATAATAAAAGAACACCAGAATTTATGAGGTTCGGCCAATTTTGCCTACTTCCTCGGACACAATCAATATTTTATTCCACTCCAAAATTACAAGTGAAATAATACTAAAGAGAGAAGATACAAATGCCTTAAGAAGATAAAAGGCAAATGGGAGGTGTGTTTAAATCCTAAACATTAGGCCTCCTTTTATAGGGTAAAATTCCCATTCAAAAACTGTCATCCACCGATGTGGGACTTTTGACAATTTTAACACGCCCAACATCTGGCCCTCCGATCCCTACAAACACCTCATTGCCAAAGTCAAATGAAAGATCGCTACAATCATCAGAAGTACAACCCCCACCGCATAGCAGCCAATAATAAGTTCCATTTAAATAAGCAGTACCAACGGCTTCTACACAGAATTCATGTATGAGATTTGCAGGTTCAAGGATTCTCCACGAATCCCTAGAACAAGAATAAACTGTTGCATATTGTCGAGGGATAGTATGATTTTTGATGTCATCCCAGAAGGACCGAAACAAAACAACCTTGTAGTCATTAGTCATGGGGTCTAATCCGAACCCAAATTGACGGTCGATTTGTCTGAAAGATGGTTGAAGCTCGAAGTTGGCTACAGGAAGGGGCCTCACTTCCCCGGTGGCAGGATTCCAATGACAAGGAGATGTTGAATATGCTGCCATCAATTTCTCGCTCCAACAAAAATAAGCCATCCACGGAACCTAAAAGGTACGTCATACCTCTAAAGCCCTGGAGATAATCAGGTGGATTTTCAAGTACACCAGCATCTGAAACCGAAATAAAAGTGATTGGAGAGGAATCATCTGGGGCACTATAATCATAAATCAAGATTTGAGGGGATTTGCTCTTGCTGTTCCAATTCATGTGTTCTCTGATGAAGCTATGGCTCTTCATTATCTCATACCAGTTCTTGCAGACACATTTGAATCGCAACAAGGACTCCACTGGCAACTTGAGTAGAATATCCACCGCTAAATCCTTAGGGAAAGGCCGACCACCATTACAGCTAGTGGCCATAATAGTTTCGGCCTTTGGGTACAGAGAGAGACAAAGAAAGAGAGAGAAGGGCAGATCGATCTGGTTTTTTTGTTTGTTTTCTGCTAATAGGCAGAGGTTTAGATGGAGTGAGTTACAGGTTCTTCCTCTATAATTTATTCTCCATTTTTTTAGACATCACTAATTATTTGCTTTAGTTACTACCATCAGATGGAGTGCCTTATCAGTGGCGAAGTCAGGAAATTCAACAAGGGTGTTCAAACATTTGCCAGTGGGCTATATAAGGGTGTTCAAAGTCTATTTTTAATCAATAACAAGTAATATTTTACCTTATACGGAGTATAATGTTCTGGCGAAGGGTGGTCAGTTGACCACCCTTGGTTGCACGTAGCTTCGCCCCTGTGCCTTATTATTCGACTTATTTTTTAATCATTAAATTCCCCATTTAGTATTCTTCTGGGTTTATTAGAGGTATTACTGTCCAATTCTATTTGTCCTTCTGAATGAGTACTTGTTTTAGTATATGAGTGTTACGTGTGTTCCCATATCATGATTGAATATTAAATATTAACATAAATATTTTTTTTAAATATGAATATTTCTAAAAATTGGTGAATGTTGATCATTTATTCAAGCTTAATAGAAGAAGGAATCTTATGTTGCAGAAGTTCTTGAATGCCTTATTGTAATTTTAGAAACCTAGATGGACTTGTATTCTAGAAACCTAGAATGATACAAAGAGAGAGACGCCGAATAACCGGCAAACTTCGTCTGAATTGTTTAGTCCACATGCAGTGGGAGACTTGTTTAGTCCGCAGGGGAAGGCCTGCGACTATTACTGCTAGAGGCGAACCCAAAATTTAATCTTCAAAAGAGAGAGAGGCGCAGCAACAGAATAATAGTGAAGAGAAAATTCAGAAGAAGGCAAATCGGTATCTCTTTTGTTTCGGCAAGTAGGTAGAGGTTTAGATGGAGTGAATTACCGGTCTAATTCTCATTTTTATGTTGTTTGGGTTTAGGAGTGATATTGTTTTCCTAACTGACTTCTTCCTTAATTCGTGCTCTACCGTACCCCCATGTTATTGAAACTTGTTAGTTAATAAATGATATTTGTGTGTGAAAAATGCTATTAGTGTGATACACTACTAGCTGCAATATAAATAGAGCCAAAGCCTCAAATTAAATCTCATCCTTGCATACATATCTTGAATACATAACAATATTACTGGTAATTACCACATTTTCTACTTTTTGGTCTTCAGATTTAGTTGCAACACATTTACGTTTCAAGCTTCTTCCTTTTGTATCACTTGGCCAAAGACCATGGATGAAGAACTGTTTCTTAATACCAAAGATTTCAGTGACATCTCACAAAATGTTGGGAGCCTTGCCAGCAAGTTAGTGTCGAGAACTACTTGGTGTTTATTTTACGTACTGCATTAAAAAGAAACATTATGTCAAGGCCCCATATATTTTGTGAGATGTCATTGAGATCAGGAAATACTGCAAAATTGGAGTATTTATAAAGGAACGATTCTTTATTTGAGGCTTTTGGCTATGTGATGCAAAAGGAAAGCCTAACATGTCCATGTCCTGCATCTAAATTTGACGACTAAAAAGTAAAGAATGTGGTAAGTGCTTGAAATTAAGACTATCAAATTTGCGTACTGCTGTTATTTTTTATACGTGCTACATATTGTTATTCTTCAAAAGTGTGATTAACAGCATATAATATTGTTTCTTTCATGTGTGCTCCTTGGAGAGATATGTCATGAATCATATATACAGTCGGACCTCGTTATAACAATATCGCTATATAACAACCATTCACTCTAAAAACCATATTTTATGGAACTAATTTTCATGCTATGTTATAATATATGTTCTCTATAACAACATTTCGCTATAATAGCCAAAAACATCCTGAACAAAGGAGGTTGTTATAGAGAGGTTTGATTGTATTCCGTATTGTACCGAAATAAAATAAAAAATAAATTATGTATATTATAGATACAACTGTCCTAATTAAAGAAAAGGACAGCCATATATTTTCTCGGGTTTTTGGGAGTTTTCGGGTTTTTTTTTCCATAAAGTCTTCATAGCACAAAATGTAAAATTTGTGCTCCAAATATTTCTTTAATCCTAGTAAGACAGAACTATATAAGGTGTTTTTCAATAAAATAACATAAATATGAGATGAGTCATGGTATTGTACTAAAATATTCAACAATAAAGATAATAAAATAGCATAAAATAAATATTATTAATAAGCCATAATGAAAACAAACATAATTTAAAATTATGACTAATAAGTATTATTATTTATATGACTAGCCACTAAAAGAAAAATAAGTTATATATTTTATTTAAACCATGGAAAAACTAAAAAATATATATCCAATACTATTTTCATTCATAGTACAATTGAATCGAATGTCTTTTATTAGCATTAGTATTGATTTGATTTTGGTTTAGGATTTATTTGAGTTAGTAACATTTATAGACTATAAAACTTATTGGAGCATCCAAAAATTATAAGCCCAAGCTTGAAATAATACGTTAAAAGATAAAAATAAGAAAAAACTTAAGAAATATTTATAAACTACATTACCATAAATATTTTTATGTATTAAATATATTTAAAACTTCTATACATATAATGTCGGGTTGGTTTGGTTTCGGTTTGACTTTTTTTAGTTAAAACCAAACCAAACCAAATATGGTCGGGTTTGTTTTTCCAACACCAAATCATAGTCGGGTTTCTTTTCCGGTTTGATTCGGATTATCGGGTTGGTGCGATTTGTCTGTTTTTATTTGTACACCCCTAATGTATAGTATGGGAAACAATCAAAAAATAAAAATAGTCCAATTTACCGTTTACTACATGAAATATTTTATTACCCTCTGTTACACTATAGAGAGTTTCATATTCTTATCGTTTGTAAATGGTCTCCTATTTGTCGCTCTAAAGAAATTCCAACATAGATTGGCCGAATTCCCACGTGTCAAAATATTCCATAAAATTTTCAAATATACGCCTTTACTTTTTACTATTGTTTAAAGTTATCCTATGTGATGACCCAAAATGTCATCTTTAAATTTAATAATTATCCATGTGTTCTAAGACCTCAAAAAGTACTATTTATTATTCATCGATTTGCGTGCGAAGTCCGTATAATTTTTCGGAAGGTTTTTATATGAAAAATTAATTAAAATGTGAAATAGAACCTTAAAACTCAACTAAGTTGATTTTAGACAATATTTTGAGCAAACGGATCCGAATAAGTATTTTGACAGTTTCGGTAGATCCGTATCGTAATTTGGAACTTAGGCGTATGCCCGAAATTTAATTTGGAGGTCTCTAGCTCAAGTTATGACCATTTAACGGAAACTAGGAATTTAAAGACTAAAGATTTTCAAATTTAACCACGGAGTTGATTTTTTGATATCCGGGCCGGAATCCGATTCTGTAAATTTGAATAGCTCTGTTATGTCATTTATGACTTGTGTGCCAAATTTAAAGTCATTCCGGATTTATTTAACATACTTTGGCACGAGATTTGCAAATTGAAAAGTTTAAAACTCAAAAGTTCGAATCGATGTGTGAATTGTAGTTTCAGCGTTATTTGATGTGATTTGAGACCCCGAGTAAGTTCGTATTATGTTATGGGACTTGTTGGTATATTCGGACAGGGTCCCGATTACCCTGAGAGTGACTCGGATTGAAATCGGATCAAATTTGGACTTGAGAAAAAATTTGAAATTTTTGCCTCTGATGTAATCGCACCTGTGAGGGTGTTGGCCGCAGGTGCGGCAGAATTGCGCAGATGCGGGACTGGGTTGGCCTGGGGTTTTGCAGATGCAGCCATTTTGCGCAGAAGCGGATGTCGCAGGTGCGACAGGAATGTCCGTAGATGCAGAACTTCACCTGGCAGCCTAGCATCGCAAATGCGAGCATTGTCTCGCAAATGTGAGTTCGCAAATGCGAAACTTTTATCCGCAGATGTGACAATGACTGGGCAGAGCCCATAAATTCGAAAGTCGCCATTTTTACTCATTTTTGAGTTTTAAGTCTCAGATTTGGGCGATTTCAAAGGGGATTTTTACGACTTTGAAGTGGGTAAGTGTTCTATAACCAAAAGTGATTATATTTCATGAATCCATATCTATATTCATCACTTATTTCGGATTTAGATGCAAGAAGTTGGAATTTTTGTAAAACTTTCCAAAAACGAAAAACTAAGATTTGAAGGTTCATTTGACGTCGGAATTTGGTAACTTTTATATGGTTGGACACGTCTCGGAATGGGTGTTCGTATTTCATAAGTTTTTTCGAGATTCGAAATGTGGGCCCCACTGAGAACTTTTTAGATGAATTTCGAATTTTAATTCGGAAAATTAGTAAATTTATATGGAATTACTTCCTACGATTTGTATTGAGTATATTGAATTGTTTATGACTAGATTTGAGAATTTCGGATATGAATTTGCGAGGCAAAGGTTTATTGGATTCTTGAAATTTGGTTGCAAAGCGAGGTAAGTGTCGTGGTTAACCTTGACTTGAGGGAATAGAACCCTTAAATTATTTGTTATGTGAAATACATGTGAACGACGTATAGGTGAGGTGACGAGTGTCTATACGTCGTCAAAGTAATTGTTTGCATAATTATTTGAAAATCATAAATTGTTCTAAGACACAAATTAATTGTTGTAATAATTGTTTTTCTCCTATTCTTTGTCAAATATTAATTCTTGAATTCCTGTAATAATTGTTACATGCTTATTTGATTTATGTGTCTTAATTGTTACTTGACATTTAACATATTAAATATTAAACTACTTATTTTTTCCCTGATTTCCAAAATAAATTACTACTTGTCATTGTCTATTTCATAAATAAATCATAATTATTGTATGCTTGTTGTCTTATAATTTTATATTAATTGTTGCATTTATTGGGGCAATTTCTTTTATAAGAATTGGTAAGTGAGTAAATATATTGGGGGATCGGGTTGTACGCT